AGCTGGCCAGGCAGCTGGCTGCCCCTCAGCCCACAGGAGCCAGCCACCATAGCCTCTTTCACCTCCCACCCTGCCCGGCCAAGAATGGGGGCTGCATAGGCTGAGGATCTGCACACCCACCTCACCCTCCCCTGGGCCGCTCCTGTGGGCCCCTGACAGCAGGACTTGGAGGCTCACTCTGGTGAAGGTGCTGGGGGGTAGGTCTCAGCACCCTCTGAACACATCAAAAGAAGGAGGGGGGCAGAAAAGGACATAAAGAGGATGGAGAGAAGGGTAGACAGGACAGGAGAGGGAGACACGCGCACCGTGAGGGCCAGTGCTCCAGACGCTACGGAACTAGATGGGCTGGGGGGAGAGGAACAAGAGGGAAGAAAGAAGGTGCTAGAGGTGGGAGAACAGAGACACTGGCCCCAGGTTTCAGGCCCAAGTCTGGGGGCTCAGCAGCAGGCAGGTTTGATTTAGTACCATATCCCCCCATGGCCCCAGGGCATCCACGTGGCAGGTGGGTGGCTCAGGGCCTCCCTCGTACTCAGCAGCCTCTAGTCCTCCAGGAAGGAAGGACTTGTCCAGAAACGAAGCCTCCTGGGCCTGCAGAGGTGACTCTCAGGTGGGAGGGCCCAGGGACCAGTACAGCTGCCCTTTCTGCGGCCCAGATGGTGGGAGGGCTGAGAGCCTAAACTGAGTCCAGGTCTCCGTGCTAGCGAGAGGCTCGAGGAAGCAAAGAGCCAAATGCTGCCATGTTTATGTTCATCTAGTACCTAATTCCATGCTATCTCCTATCACTCTGCCTTCCTCTGTCCTCGGCCGCTACCGAGACTCCCTGGCTAGGCCATCAGCTCCTTGAGGGAGAAGCAACGTTCTTGTTCTCACCCACCCGACCTGGCCAGCATAGTGCCACGCAGTGTTCAGTACATGCCACTGACTCAGATGGCACTGAAGGCCATGGGTTGCTGGGTCCCTGGGCCTGCGTCCCCACCTGTCAACAACATAGAGCCCCCAGCTCAACAGCTCCAATCAGCCCGAAGCGAGCCAGCCAGCACCACCCAGGCAGGGCAGCTGAGTGCACCTGGCTAGAGCCGGGAGGGGACAAGAGGTGGCGGAGGGTAGACAGTATAGTGTGTCACCTCCTGGCCACTCCACACCCCTCAGGGACTGCAGGGGACTGGGGCAGGTGCTGTCCCCAAACCAATTATAAACAAGGCAAAGGACAGGCTGTGACTTCCCTTGGCAAACAGGAGAAAACAAACCGGAGCCCCACCCACAGCTCCACTGGTAGAACTGGGGGGGAACAAGGCAGAGAGCTCAGGGCCTTGTCGAGCTGTGTGCGATGTCCCTGGGCATTAGATGGTGAAGCTCCTGCAGAGTAGAGACTGTGGGTAAAGTGTTTTTTTGTGTCTTCATTTCTGGGCACATGATGGGGGCTCAATTCACATTCTCTCATTCATCCCACAAAGATGTGCTGAGTATCCACTGTACACGAGGCTCTCTTCTAGGCACTGGGGATATGGCATGGAACAAAACAGACCAAATCCCTGTCCTCAGGGTGCTGATGTGGGCGCGTCCCATTCACCTGTTGACTGATTGGCTCAGACTCCAAGCCCCTCCCCCCAGGGCTGAAAGGCCTGCCACCATCTCACCTTGCCTCCACCAGGCTCCACCCACCTCCCTCCGGTTTCCAAGGACAACTCCACCCCGACACCCCCAGGGGCGAGCCTCCAGGCTCTGACGACTTTCTGCTGCCTCAAGACCCAGGACCTTCTAGAAGATGATGAAGACACCACCACCTCCAGCAGGGAGCCTCCACCTGTCCTCCCAACATCTCCAGTCTGGCCAAGGAAAGGAAAAGGGAACGCTTTCTTTTTGTGTGTGTTTCATCATTTTTACTATTAAGAAATATGATTCAAACCATGATCAAATACATGCCCACCATGGGTGGGAAGGTAAAATAACATGCTAGGCCTTTCAACAGCCTCGCATCAACAAAGTGTGGGTCCACTTTGGACACAGCCCCCCTTATTCCAACAATGCTACTTTACCTCCAAGTACCTCTGCAGCAGCTTCAGCCCCTGCCCTGTGTTCCAATCGGCGGAAGACAGTACGGACTCTCAGCTAGTGCTACCCTCATTTGTCCACCTCACCTTGCCTTAATCAACCAGCAAGTATTTCGTAAGCACTTGTCCCAGGGAGTGAGATCAAGAACCACAAAGCTGAACAGAGGTCAGTTTAATGGAAGGTGGGGCAGAGGGTGGAGGGAGGGGAGAGGACTGACTGAGGGGGACACCAGATGGTCTCAGAAGTGGTACCTGCCTTCAAAAAAGAGACAGGCCTAAAAGACCCAAAGCAGTCAGTGTAGCTGCAAAGCAACAGGCCTCTAAGACAGTGGTCCTCAAAGTGTGTGTGCTCTGGGGACAGGCGGCATTGCATCACCTGATAACTTGTCAGAAACTTAAATTCCAGACCTCACGGAATTTGCAGACCTATTGAATCAGCAGCCCTGGGAGGGGGCCCAGCAATCTGTGTTTTAACAATCCCTCCAGGGGATTCTGACGGGTGCTCAAATTCGAGAACCACTGCTCTAGAGAAAAGGCATCGGAATCATCTGGGGAATTTAAAGTAACGATGCGTAGGCCCCTCCCCCAGAGATTCAGATGCGACAGTATTTTTTGAGCTCCCCAGGTGATCATAACATCCAGCCAGGCTGCGGTAAGATGGAACAGTGCCCCTGGTATCCTGGAAAGGTGTGCCTCGACAGAGAGGAAGATTTGGGTTATAGGGAGGGAGTAAGGGAGGGCTAGGAGGAGGGAATGGACCCTGGGTTTCTGGATGGAGAGTCTGGCGGAGTTCCCGGACAAAGCCCCATAGCATCACATCTTACTTTGGGACCTCTGCTGTATGCATAAGAGCCAACGAGGTGGCCTTCCCCAGAGAAAGCTGGTTAGGAGATGGGGGTAGCCAGACCTCATTTCTTCTCCTCCTTATGCCCACACTTAAAAGCCAGGAAAGAGCCAGTGATGTACTTGCCTGTTGCCTCTGTCCCTCTCAGCTACCCTCTGCTCTCACCCACTGCCCCACCACTCCACAGCAAAGCATTTCCCGTGTGCATGGTAAGTCCCAGACCCTACCCTATCACTAGGATTTCATCTCAGCCCTCAGTGACATCACAGCCAAGGGGATCCATATCTCTGGCGCAGAGTGGAGAAGGGGCAGGCAGCAGGACAGCAGGGGAGAGCCACAGCTAGGTGTGGGTGGTCAGCGGCCAGGCTAGATGCTGCCCATGGAATCCCAAGGGGCAGGGCAGGGGTGGTAGAGATGCTGCAGGCATTGCCAAGTGCCCTCCACTGTCCTGTTAAGTGAGGAGACCAACCTGGGTGTGGTACAGCAGGGAGTGGTAGGGATTCGGGCCACTGAGCCTGCAAAGCCCCACATAAAGTGTTACATTAGAGGACATTATACACATAGGGAGGCCTACTTGCAACCCACAGATCTTTATTCCTTTCCTGAAGCCCTCCATGCCTCTATTTCCTCACTTGCACGTGAGAAATAAAGAAATAAATGAGTTGTGAGTTAATTACACTCATCATTCTAAGTGCTGCATGTGCATCATGCGTCAACATACTTAGCTCTCACTGCAGCACTATTAGGTAGGTGCTACAATATGCCTCACTTTTTAGGTGTGGAAACTGAGGCAGACAGGGGTTAAGCAGCTGGCCCAGGCTCATGCAGTATTAAGTGGCAGAGCTGGGACTCTAAGCTAGATGGCCTGGCACCAGAGCCCATGGTGTCAACAATCCCCTGACCAGGTTGCACTGGCCCAGTGCTAAATGCGTGGTGGCCATGGCGACATCCCAAGAAAAATTGCTCCACCAGGGCCAGCCTTTAGCCAAAGCTCGATCCCGTGGACTCTAGTATCCCCCAAATGCCCCCCGCAACCCATACCCGTCCCTCTTGAAGCCTTTCCTGCTCTGGTGCCTTTGGCAAAGATCTGTAGAAGGTTCGCATTGGAGGGGACCCCACAGATGATCTAGGCTCACAGATCTGGAAACTGAGGCTGAGCAAAGCAGGGACCTGTCCCAGCCACACAACCAGTCAAAGACAGAGTAGGGTCTCTGGACCCCCGGCCCAGTGCTCTTACGACCTTCAGTGCCGTCCCCTTCTCACCCAAGAGTCCCCACGGCCTTTTCTCCACATGTGATTGAACAAGCACTACCCAAGGCTTCAGTGGAAGCTAATGGTCGTGGAGTCTGTGCACAAAGCCAGGCACCCAGAAGGCTGTCAGTAGGGTGCTCCCCTCCCTTCCCGAGCACCTGAGGTCTCCAAAGAGGCTCAGGAAGGCTTGTCTGAACCCATCTGCTCCCCTGGCCAGTCAAGACAGGTTCGAGTCAGGGTTCCTTTGGTCACTCATGCTGGCAGCTCAGAAGAGAGGCCAGGAGACAGGTGTGGTCCCGGGGCAGAAGTTTCAGCAAGCTCCCACACTACTTAGGGTGGGAAACCCTGAATAGGGAAAAGAAGGTCCCCAGGCCACCATACCCCCACCTTTTAAGAGAGAACTCCTGGGAAACCCTGAAGTGATCTTTAGGGATTGAGAACGCAGATTCTGGAGTCAAGTGGTCCTGGGTTAGAATCCCAGTCCTGACACCTCCAGGCTGTGTGACTTTAAGCAACTTGCTTAACTTCTCTGAATCAGTATAATGGAAACAATAATTCCTACTGCACTCTAAAGAGTAAATACACAATAAATATTGGCAACTAGTGTATGACAAATTTTATTATAACATTGTTCTAGTATAGCATAAAGAGAAGACATAACATATTCTATTAATATATTAATATTATTATTATACTCTTATATACACACATACACAAGTCATCTATACACATGGACCTAGATACCTGCAATCTCATAACCACACACACAAACTCACATTCATTACACAAACCCCACCCCGTCCCGAAGAGCCACATCACATACTCACCATGTACCAGCAGTGCTCCTCCCTTAATCCCCACAACAGCCTGTGAGGTGAGTGTTTTTATCTCCCTCCTTTCAGAGGACAGACGCATTACAGTGTGCATATACACTCACTGCATCTTGGGATGTGGACATTTCTGGCAGCTCTGGGTATCCTGAACTCCCTCCCTCCGATCCGAGGAGGCCAACCCAGTTTCCACAGTCATCTCCAGGGCAGCCCCAGCTGGGCCCCAAGTGCTGACTGCCCTCCATCCCCAGGACAAAGGCCCAACCTGGCTTTAATGACAGCTGTGGTTGGGGAAACCCCTGCTGCTGGCAGAAACCAAGTTGACTTTGAAAAGGAAGAGACAGAAGCCAGGGGGTGTCTGAGCCACTCCCTGTGGGGGCAGGTGCTAAGTAACTCTTATAAACTCTGGCTAATGATGCAACTACAGCCATAAACAGAGCCCCAGGAGGGACCAGGGCCAGAAGCCAGACCCTCATAGGGCAGCCAGGCCTGAGGGGTGGGAGTCCCCTCCCACCTACTATTCAGCTTTCAGAAGCAGGCTGCCGAGGCCGGATGCAGTGCATGCGGGCACTGGGCACTGCCACCATCTTGGAACCCTGGATGGGCTCCTGCCTGCCCTAGTCAACCCCTGCCCACCTCTGACTGTGAGTCACCGGGCCATCACCCCTCAAAAGTCCAGCTGGCTCTTGCTGGATCCAGTGCTCACCTGAGATGACCCCTGCCCCATCCCCTGTGCCCCCTTCCATGGGACCCATCAGCAAGACACTTGGGTCCCCACTCGGCTCCACCTCACAGAGCTGGGTTGAGGACAACATAACACTGCAGCTGGAACAGGCCTTCTAATGTAAGCCATGCTGGCTCCCCTCCGGGAGCATGGAGTCACCCCAAACAGCCCTGCCCTTCACTTACACCCTCAGTTTCCCAGCTCTCCCTGTCCCAGCAACCAGGCGGCTGGCAGAAAGAAGGGAGCCAAGAGAGTTGCTAATTTTCCTGGGGCTGGGGAAACTGAGGCATGGTAAAAGCATACTGTCAGACTACCAGGCTGGGCTTCCAAGACGACCGACCCTTCCCCTTCCGCTGCTTTTCCAGGCCGGCCAGTTAACTATTGCTGGCTGTCTCTCCCCAGACTGTGAGCTCCCCGAAGGGAGGGCCTGGGGGCCGTCTCCCGGGCAGGGCACCAAGAACTGCGTTCTGAACTGAGCACATACGCTTCTGGCCCCTAAAGGAAACCAGAGACCAGCCTCCCACCTCATCCCCAACTGCCCAAGAGTGCCAGGTCTGGGCCAGTGGAATCTTGGCCAGGGCGGCTGCAGGGGCCTGAGGCCACGCCCCAGAGGTGTCACTGGGGCCTGCCTGCATCGGCCCTGTCCCCTTCCCTGCTCGATTAAGCACCCTCTCACTTGGGCGAGGGGTGGGTGCAGGGCAGTAATTAACCTGCACTTCCCCACCGAGCGCCAAGCCCAAGAACTGCGCGCGGAACCGCCCCCAGAACAGACAGGCGAGAGAACGACGGCTGGAGCTGTCGGGGGCTCGGGCAGGACGGAGGGCCGGCCCGGCAGAGCAGGCGCTGGCGCGGACGGCCCCGCCCCGGGCGCCCTCCCTTCCTCCCCCGGGGCGCGGGGCTGGGGCGCGCCAGGCGGCTGCGGCACGAACCTGCTCGCGCAGCCCGGAGCAGCTCGGGGCAGCCGTGCGTGAAGCCAGAACCCCGCGGGGAGGGGGCCGAGGGCGGGGGCCGAGCCGGCATCTGCCCGCTCCCCTCGAGGCGAGCGTACGCGCCGGGCCCAACAGCCGATGGGGTACCGCGAGGGGGACCGAGGGGCGATAACGGCGGGGGGGCGGGTCAGCCCGGGGGTGGGCGGCGCGGACACGGGGTTAGGGGGAAGGGGGCGTGTTTTCCGGGATTCGGGACCGAGACCGGGGGAAGGGGGAAACTCGGGGTCTGGCGACGGCAGGGAGCTCCGGAGGAAGCAGAAAGCCAGGCGCGCGGAGGGCGCTCTCCGGAGTTGATGTTCCCTGGGATCGTGGAATAGTGCAAGGGGAGAAAAAGACGACCCGGGGAC